CTTCACACACCTGCGCCCCAGCACTCACCTGTCCGAGCTGACATTCCATCTGGACGTCAACCAGGGCTCTCAATAACATTGTGGCCAAAAAAGGACTCTTGGCTTGCTCTCTCAAGTCTGCCCCTCCTCTACTTTTACTCGGGCAGGAAAAAAAAGGTTCTATTAAAAATGGCCACTAGCTCGGGGCGCCTGGGTGGCTTAGTCGTTAAGCATCTGCCTTCTGCTCAGAGCATGATCCCAGGGTCCTGGGATCAAGCCCTGCATCAAGCCCCGCATCGGGCTCCCTGCTCGGTGGGAAGCCTGCTTGTCCCTCTCCCATTCCTGCTGCTTGTGTTCCCTCTCTTGCTCTCTGTCAAATAAATAAATAAAACCTTTAAAAAAAAAAAATGGCCACTGGCTCAATCCACGTTTTCCATGATTCCTCCTCTACCCACTTTCTCCATTTCTGCTGCTATCAACAAGCACCTCCCCACTCCTCCCTGCAGGCTGTGTGGCTCCCGGGCCTCTCTGACTTCGCTCTCGAGACTACTGTCCCTGCTGATGTCAGGGGGCACAGCCTTTGTTGGATACATATGCTAAGTTTTTATTTTACAATAGTTGACATTTACAGAAAAACCACAAGGACAGTACAGAGAGTTCCCAGACACCCAGGGCCAGTTTCCCCGGGAAATGTTAACACTGAAGTGAGCGCCGGGCACTTGTCACAACTAATGACCCAACACTGGTGTCTGATGATAAACTAAACAGATGTATTCGGATCTCACGGGTCTTCCCCAATGTCCTTTTCCTCCTCCAGGGTCCCATCCCGGATCCCACATTCCGTTGTTACAACTGCTTAGGCTCCACTGGGCTGTTACAGTATCTCAGACTTTCTTTGTATTTGATGACCTGGACAGTTTTGAGAAGTCTTGTCAGGCATTCTGTAGCATGTCCTTCAATTTGGGTTTGTCTGATGTTTTCTCACGGTTAGATGGGGTTCTGGGTTTTGGGGGGAAGATGACGTGATGAAGGGTCCTTCCCACCCCATCATGTCCACGGTGATGCACCATGTACAGGACATTCGTATGAACCTTGATCACCTGCTGAGGTCGTGCGGTCAGCTCTCTCCTCCGTGAAGGTACCTCTCCCACCCCATTTCCACTGTACTTTTGGGGAGCCTAAGTCACTACGTGTGGTCACACCAGGGGTGAGTGTTGCCCTCCTCGAGGGGGTGGCTCAGAGGGCTCTTTTCTAAAAACCTGACTCCAATCCTGACATCCTCCGTTGCTGTGTAGTACAGGGAGCTACCCTCAACACTCCGACACCGGGCCCGGGTTCACCTCAGAGTGTGCCCTGCAGCTCTCAGTCTCCTCTCCCTCCTCGCCCCGGCCCACCCAGCTCCAGCCACGGCGGCGCCTTGCTGTAGCTCAGATCCACCCATCCTGTGCCCACCTTCGGCCTCTCCCTCCCCACTGCCTACGATAAAGGAGGCTCTCCCCCAGCTACCTGGGGAATGAATGAAGGTGTGAATCCTCATTCTACAGAGGAGGACACTGAGACTTAGAAGGTAAGTATCCTGCCAAGGTCACTGGGTTAGAGTGCTGCCGAGCTGGGATTCAAACCCAGGCCTCCCTCTCTGATCTGAGTCTGAGGGTGTAACCATCTCCCCTTGGCCCTGCCCAGTACGGAAATGTGCCCCCCCCCACACAGCTGCTCTTGGGGAGGGACAATGCGGACTCCCTCTTAGTGACTGAAATGTTGGTTCTGCAAAAGGAGAGGAGGGAGACTGCTGTGGTAGGGGGCCTCCTGCTGTGGGAACCTCGCCCTCTGCGCCCTGCTGAGCCCCCAAAGTAGGTAGGGGATTATCGCCCCAGCCCCTGGGCTGAGCGAGGCCAGGCCTCCAGGGCCAAATGAGGGGGCTGCTGCTGGCTCTGCGCCAGCAGCGTGGAGGAGCCCCCAGGAGAAGGCCTGCTGCGCAACCCTGAGCCTTACCGTCTTCAGTCTCCACATAGAGGCGGAGCCCCAGGTCCTTGTTCCGGCTCAACAACCAGCGGTCACTGGCCGTTGTCACGTCCAGCACCAGCCAGCCCTCGTCCCCAGCTCGGAGCGTCTGAAGATCCAAAAAGAACAAGTCAGACTCCCTGTGGACACGAAAAAACAATTAACTGAGGGCCGGCACAGCTGCCTTTGTTTCCAGTGCCCGCCTGGGGGAGCACGCGTGGGGCACCTACCCCGCCTGGCTCAGCCTGGGCGCACCGCGTGCCTTCTCTCACTGTATCTACTGTACGAAGGTGTTACTGTGCCCAGTACAGATGTGGAAACTGAGGCTCGGGGGCTCAGTGACTCGCCCAAGGTCCCACAGCCAGGACAGCAGGTCAGGGAGTGAGGCAGAACCGATGCTGGGCCTCTCCCCACAGTGACACGAGGCCTCGGCCAAGTATCCTTCTGCCTCTGAGGGTGTGCTCCCCAGGGAGCTCCCCTTCTGTCCTCTGGGAAGTGTCCCCTCCCCGGCCAGGCTTCCTCGGGGGGTGGGGTGCAGGGCAGGCACCTGTTGGACTGCTCCCTGACCACCTGGAACATGCTGACGTGCAGGGTCCTGTTGAGCAGGTGGGCGCTGGCCAGCTTGTAAATCCGGAACTCGGCGGCCGTGACTGCCTCGCCCTCTGGGATCTGGGTCAGGTCGAAGCGGAACTCCTTCCAGTGGGGCTCCTGGTGGCCCAGGGTGCGGTCACGCTCCACTGCAAGATGGAGTGGGGCCGCCGGTCACTTATGCTCTGGGCAGAACCGGGGGGAGCTGGGGGCCAAGGCACCTGGGTGGGGACGGCTCCGTCCTCTGCAAAGGGGCTTGCGCCCAGGCTCTGTCTCCTGCGTGCTGAGAGGGCGCGGCGGGGCCGTGTGCTGAGGTGTCCGGCACAGGGCCCGGCACACCGTGGTGCCGGCAAGAGCAGCCTCCGCTTCTGGTCCCGAAGCCCCAAACCCAGCCTGCCCCACCCATCCCCTGCTGGCTCTGGGACCCAAGGATGAGGCAGAGGGCAGGTCCCTCCTCTGGGAAGACTGACATCAGACCCAAGGCAGAAAAGGGCCATGGGGGCGGGCAGGGGCAGAACCGAGTACAGTCTGAGGCCAGGGCTGTCCAGAGTCTGCCGATGTGTCTGCTCAGGAGCCTGGGGGAGAGGAAGCGTTTGCAGCTGACACTGGGGCTCGGCCTCGAGGGGTGAGAGTGGATGTGCCCCCACGTCAAGGGAGGACACTGCAGAGGAAGGGCCAGCCTGAACAAAGGCCTAGGGCTGAGGGACAGACGGCACAGGCAGGGGAAACAACAGCCATAAAGACAGCAAACGGTGAAAGGATGGCAGGTCCTGTTTGGGGACAAGGTGAAGGAGCAAGGAGGTCAGAGGGAGACTTGGAAAGGAATAAGAGGGAGCAAGGTAGCAGTGACAGCGCCTGGTGACACCTGGTCAGGTCCCGGGGAAGCTGGACGATCCCGTGATGGGGTGCGATCTGAGCAGGCTTCCCAGGGGAGGTGCCACCTGAACTGGCCTTGAAGGGGGGGACAGAGTCCTCTGGGGCGGGGGGGAGAAGGTGGCAGGGAAGACATTCCAGGCAGAGGGGACCTCGGAGGCACAGGTGTGCAGTGCGGGGGCGTCCACAGATCAGCGCTGTGGGGGACTGGCAGTGAGTCTGGCTGTGGTCTGACTCTGGAGGGCGGAATTCCGGCCTAGGAGCGTGGGCTGTGCCTCTGGCCAGTGGGGTTCAGGGTTCTGGGCAGCAGAGGTACGATGTGGTTTTCGGGGGGTGGAAGATAGGCAGAGGGGAAGGTGATGCACAGGCTGGAGGGGGAGCCGAGGCGGGCCGGTGGCCGGGCTGGTCTGTCTGGGCAGGAGGCTGGGGTGGCGGATCAATCCCACATTTCCCCCGCTGCCCGGAAACGCCCAGGACAGTATATTTAGTACTGTCTCACTTTAGCCTCCTGTCACTTTCAAATGCCGCAAATCTGTGTTTCCGAAAACAGGGGCAGGAGCCGCCCAGCACCTTCCCCAAAACCCAACACTGAGATTTTAATTACATGTCTGTGAGTCTTTTTAAAAACTCTCTCTGGCTACTGGGCTCAGTGACCACAAGTCACCAGGCTGGTGGTGGAGGCGGATGTGGGGAGCGCTTCCTGTCCTCGCAGTGGGGACCGGGTCTAGCGAGGGACGGGCCAACAGCTGGGCTGGGTGGGGCCGGTGGACACACACGCTGACAGGAGGAGGTGGGCTTTTCCTCCCCAGACCGCGCGGGAGAAATAGAACGTCCACGTGCCGACCAGGTGCTGGACACGCAGCGCATGCGCAGCCGGGAGCCAGGCTGCTTGGGAGGCAGTGTCGCCAGTGGGAGCCGTGTCCTCCCGCGCACGCGCAGGGATCGTGTGGAGCGGGGCTCTGTCCCCGCACCCGGGGACGCGTGCCATGAATACTGACACACTCCCACTCCCACACGCACAGCTTTGGTGACAATTTCTGTGGATTCAGGGGCCGCACAGACCACCTCTGTTCCGTGGCCGTGTAAGAATCCCGGACGTGCAGGACGCCATAGGTCTAGGCTGGTGGCTCTGACAGGGTTTGGCCCAGGGCGTGAAGAAGGGTGGCTGAGGGCATCGAACACGGATCCGCACACACGGATCTGCTTCCAAGGCTGTGGGGCTGACGGGCCGGTCGTGGGGCCGCGGGCAATCTCTGCCTGCAGGCCTGCCGCTGATTTCCTGTCCGATCTGGGGGCCGAGGGAACAACCCATGAACCCGTCATCTCCACGGGAGGACCACGCTCTGCGGCCTCCCTCCCTTGCTGACCTGGGGGGCCCACGTGCGTGGGGTCAGGAGAGCCCTGTGCACCTGAACTGACCCCGGGTCCCAGCTTTCCCCCTGTGGGTTTGTGAACTCGATGAACCACCCAGTAGCTCAGCACAGGAAACTGCCCACCCCGCTGTTCCAGGCAAGCACTAGAAGGTGAGACACTGTTAGGAAAGTGATGCTTTTCATCAGAAACTGATAAAACTTCCTGGAGAGCAGCATTATACTAGACATGCCTGTAACTGGCTAAAGGGGAGTGCTCCATCTCTCTATGCTAGAGCGGTCTAGATGTACAGCTCTCCAGCAGTTGCTTCTGTGTATTAGAATAGTATTTATTTATTTTTATTTTTTTAGCGGGTGGAGGGGCAGAGGGAGCAGGAATCGTAAGCAGGCTCCATGCTGGATCTCATAACCCGGAGATCATGACCTGAGCTGAAGTCAAGAGTCTTAACTGACTTAACTGCCTGAGCCACCCAGGTGCCCCAGAAACAGTATTTCTCAAAAGCTGGTGTTAAGGATCTGGATTTGCTCCTACAGTAGCTCCTGGGCCACTGCCCCTGCTTTTGCCACTAGCAGCATTGAGAAGTATAGGTGCTCTGGCCTGTAGCTGGAACTGCCGGTCCAGCCCTGACCCTACTGGTGACCAGATACTTTCCCTGGCCTCAGTCTCCTCATCTGTGAAGTGGGGATACTAGGAGTTTTCCACAGAGGGACCTGAAAGGGCTTTGGGAGGGGCAGGCATTATCAGGTAGGTAGGAATGATGGCCATTCCATAGGAATAGGAGTTGAGAAGGGGTGCTGGCCTCCAATTTCCTCACTTCATCCCTGTATCAAAGTGATAACATCCTGCCAGCACCAGTAGAACCTTCATGTGTGACTCTCAAGAGCAAAGGGGGAGAAAAGGGACGCTTTCAATTTTCTTTTTCTAAATAAAAGTATGGAATGAAAGGTTATGTAACATAAAAATGTATTAATTCAACTGAAAGGCATTTGGATGGTTTCAAGGTCCCTCCTTTTCACCTGCCTGACCTTTGTCAAGGCACTTGATTCTCTGGGCCTCAGTATTCACATCTGCAAAAATGACCATTTGATACAGGGTCCAATGAAACTGCAAAAGGCCATGTTTGCTACTGTAGTAGGTAGTTGGTTCTGGTCCAGCAAATGCTTCTAACATATTATACAGGAGCATTTCCTTCTTAGTGCACCTTCATGCCAAGCCTCCACTTCCCCAAGGTCTGGAATCTCCCAAAGATGCCCAGGCTCAGAGAGGCAGCCCCTCAGAACCACCACTGAGGCTGTTCTGGCTCAGGCACAAAACAGAAACTGACCGTTTATGAAAGTGCTGGAGATTCCAGAACATCAGAGCTCCAAGGACAGAGGTCACCACACACAGTCTCCTTCCACTTTTATACACACACAGAGATGGAACCCAGGGATCCTGACTCCCATCTGGGCTGCTCCACTACATCAGGCTGGACCTCCACCATCTGATGTTGAAAGGACAGCATAAAAATCCAGCTGGAAGTGGCCTGTTGCTGCCTCCCACCCCCCTGCCATTGTTGATGGTCTGCAGAGGGAATTTATGGGAAAAGCCAAGGTCTGTACAACGTGACTTCTTGGGTTTTCCCAGATAATTTTTTTTTGCTACCACTTATGGGGTTGGGAAGTTCATTTCCCAGTTCCCTGGCAGATCTGGCCAGGCTGAAGGAGCAGTGGGTGCTCCCTGCCTGGCCTATGTTCTAGATCCCGGCCATCTGAGCTATGTCCTGCCAGGAATCCTCTCTCTGGGGTGGCCCTGGGGGGACCACTGATGCCTGGGGCAAGATTTCTTGGGCCAAGGGCCAATTATTTCCATCTGCAACATCTGGGGTGAGAATTTCTAATCTGGGGGCGGGTTCCATAATTTCACCTTTGGGCATAGGGGAAAAGACTCCTGACTATACATGCTCAGGAGGCTTTCTATAAACACTCAGTTTTCCCATTCATTTTTCCTGGTGACATCCAGGAAAATGAATTCATTTACTCCTACACATTTGAAAGCAGCACTTCCTGTACGCAGGTCGCTACGGAGGCACTGGGGGAAACCCACTGATGTTATGGAGTTTGCAGCGCGTGGGGAAGTCAGGTAGCAAACAAGGTGATTGTATGTGAGCAGCTATGAAGGACGTCAAGGGAGGGGTGGGACTAGGGATAAGGCAGGAAGGGTGTGTGGGAGTCACTTTATGCTTTTAAGTTTATTTTGAGATAATTTTAGGTGATTTAGATTTAGAGAGAAGTCTTTTTGCGAGAACAGTATAGAAACTTCCCCTATACTCTTTACCCAGCTTCCCCTAATGATAACATCATACATAACCAAACCACAGCATAATTATCAAAACCACAAAACTGATATTGGTACAAGGCTATTAACTATATAGTCTTTTCTAGAATTTTGCCAGGTTTTCCACTATTCATCTTGAATGTTCCTGACTTCCATCCATGGTCCCACATCACATTTAGCTGCTAGGTCTCCTGGGTCTCCTCTGATCAATTGCTAATCTTTCCTTTTCTTTCATGACATTGACACTTTTATTTATTTTTAATTTTTAAATTTTTTTTAAAGTAGCCTCCACTTCCCATATGCCCAACATGGAGCTTGAACTCATGACCCTGAGATCAAGACCTGAGCCAAGATCAAGAGTCAGATGCTTAATGACTGAGCCACCCAGGCGCCCCAGGACATGGACACTTTCCAAGAGTGCTGGGCAGTTATTTTGTAGCATGCCCTTCAACGTCAGTTTATCTGACGTTTTTCCATTAGACTGAAGTTACGGATTTTGGAGAAAAATATGCACATCAAATTGGACAACATGGTGGTATTATTCCTAGTGATATTAATGGATTCTTTGATTAAGGTGCTGTCCAGGGATTCAAAGAGGCTCTGTGACCTGGGAA